TAACGGCCGCTGGTGCCAATCTACTTGCATACTGTCCAGAGAACCCAAGAGAGCGATGGTCCAAACTGCGGAGATGTGAGGACCTGGACAAGTGCTGCCCACTTCCCCTGCTTGTTAGACTGAGAGTGGTGGATGATCCCAAGGATGGCCTTTTCTTATATGAACCATCCACCCCTCTTCTCCTATTGCCCTTCGACCCAGCAGAATGGGAATGGGTGGGACTTACACCCCATGCCCTTTTGGCAATACACCGTTAAAAAGGGATATAGGATGGGCCGCAAGCACGTCCCCGTCATGGACAGTATTATTAGGAGATGGGAGAGGGACTCCCCTCTTACAAAAGAGGACCTTCAAGACCTCAAATGGTCCTCCTATGCAAACATCAAACCGACAAACCATAGAGCTTTACAGTGGCAGATCATTCACAGATGCTTGCCGACGCCGGATTGGCCAACTGCCAGGACTGACCTAGAGCAGAAGGGGACGCTCTCCCCTATATGCTCATACTGTACCCGCTCCTTCCCCAGGAAGAGGGGGAAGAGGGCTATCCTCGAGCACTGCTTGCTCGAAGAGGGGGAAGAGGGCTACCCTCGAGCACTGCCCGCTCCCTACTATTAGGGGACCTTTCCCAGGCCGGAAACTCATGGACACCTTTCATATCCAACCTCTTCTCCTACACCAGGCTGACAGTCCTCATGCAGGGCTGGAGGATGCGATGCTTGTTCCAAAGGAACCAACACACGTTCGGAGTTATGCAGGCACGAATGGCAATAATAGATACCATTATAGCCAAGACTCAGCAAGCCCACAAAGAACTGCGGGAAATGCTAAAGACAGAACTCGAGGCAACCAAAAGAAAGGGCCTGACGGATAACTTCAACCTAACATGGACTGACAAACGAAACAGGCTTTGCAGTCTGGACCACAATGCCTCCCTGCAGTGGCAACCTTGGCCAACAACAGAGAGTCAGTGGGAACGCCTACCGCAATCTCACTTTCGAGTGGACTATCAACCGACGAACTTCGTCCTGATACCCAATAGAAGTCTAGATGATCAACCCTCCTAGCCTCTCCTGTCCTCCCTTAAGCCCCTCACCTGCCCTGTCTCCCTCTGTGTCACCCAGACCACTCCGCCACGCCCACCACCATGCCCATCATTCCCGCCTTATACTACCCCTTCCCACCCCTCCCTCTGCCGGTCAAGGACGACTGCCACACCAAGAGGATTGGCAGGGTTCAAATGAAGGGACTCCATCGGCAAGAGAGAGAGAGAGCTGGGCTACTTGGGAGACACAGAGGTAATAGTTAAAGGAGAGGATAACGGGGCGGGGAGGGCCCTTGTCACAAGTGTGGTCACCGGGTCAGGATCAACAAAGACTGTACACAGCTTCTGCTCATCTGGTGCATCATCCAGTAAACGAAGGGTGGGGGTGGGGAAATGGGTGGCTGGCTTGCCTGCTGGCCGGCTATAGGCTCCAGTGGGTAAGCAGGTTGGCTGCAGGAAAACACCAGAAGTGCAACTCCAAACACGTAGATGGTCCTGCAGCGCACTGTTATTTACAGATACAGCTATATCTAATCACGCACAAGTGCAACAACACAATAGACAGTCAACTACACGGGCATTTCGGAGAGCAGCACAGACACCTACAGTGTTCAGGTGTCTGTGAGACTGTCAACAACATTGCCAATTCGGGCAGCTGTACAGCTTTGCTAGAGGAAGTCTCTAGTGTGCCAGTACACTCAACTGTATATCCATTCACACAAACAACTACAATGCTCAGGGACGCTGGACCCGTTTTCCAGCAGGTGCTCACACAAACAACTACAATGTTCAGGGACGCTGGACCCATTTTCCAGCAGGTGCTGCTCCCCACCAATAGATGGAGCCTTCTCGTCAGTGCTAGGGGTGCCTGCTCGAACCAGCGTCCCTAGCAGCTGCTCGGGCTGTTTAAAAAAGAAAAACCAAAAAAACCAAAAAAAAACAGCTTCTTAGGCATCACATTACCACTGATCAATTTGACTTTGACTGGGATATCAGAATGCCTTGGATATCTGGGCTGTACAACAATGTCATACACTCAACCACTGGTCAATCACCAAACCACCTGCATTCAGGTTGGAAACCAAGAACACCTCTGGACTTCTTGTTTCCCAAATCCGACACAGCAGATAGCCCCTGGAAGCATAGAATATTCCCCCCTACGGTATGAGAAAATGTTAAAACAGGCTGTAGAAGAGATACAGAACTCGCAGAAGGCTATGACATGATCAGAAAATCAGAACAAACGGGTGCCAACTTTTCAGGTAGGTGATAGGGCTTTGGGTGATGCCAGAGCAGGATATATCCTCTCTCTCTCTCTCTCTCTCTCTCTCTCTCTCTCTCTCTCTCTCTCTCTCACACACACACACACACACACACCCCTATC